AGCTCCCCACATACTCCGCGCACTAAAGTTGTACTACAAAGTCGCCAGTTCTCAGCCTCAGCTTCCAGCTCCACAAGCTTCCAGCTCCACAGATGCTCCGCGCACTAAAGTTGTACTACAAAGTCGCCAGTTCTCAGCTTGCAGCTCCACAGGCTTCCAGTTCCACAGATTGCTCCGCGTACTAAAGTTGTACTACAAAGTCGCCAGTTCTCATTTTCCAGCTCCTCAGATACTCCGCGTACTAAAGTTGTACTAGAAAGTCGCCAGTTCTCATCTTCCAGCTCCCCAATCGCACTCTCGCCTGCATTTCGCGCACTCGACACGCGCGATCTCCGCAGAGGGTTGCGCCGGACCGGGTCAAATCGCACTCTCGCCTGCATTTCGCGCACTCGACACGCACGATCTCCGCAGAGGGTTGTCCCGGACCGGGTCCAATCGTACTCTCGCCTGCGTTTCGCGCACTCGACACGCACGATCTCCGCAGAGGGTTGCCCGCGACAAACACAAATCGCACTCTCGCCTGAATTTCGCGCACTCGACACGCACGATCTCCGCAGAGGGTTGTCCTGGACCGGGACAAATCGCACTCTCGCCTGCATTTCGCGCACTCGACACGCACAATCTCCGCAGAGGGTTGCGCCAGACAAATCCAAATTGCACTCTCGCCTGCGTTTCGCGCGCTCGACACGCACGATCTCCGCAGAGGGCTGCGATGGACAGAGACAAGTCGCACTCTCGCCTGCATTTCGTTCGCTCGACACGCACGATCTCCGCAGAGGGTTGCGTTTCGTGGTGCTCCGGCGGCACTGCCCCCGGCCTTAAGAGAGAAAGTTAAGAAGAGCGAGAAGTGAAGATGTGAGCTGTAGATGTGAGGATGTGCAGATGAGCAGAGATGTAGATGTGCAGATGCGAACATGAGCAGAGATGTAGATATGTGAAGATGAAGATGAGCAGAGATGTAGATGTGCAGATGTGAAGATGAGCAGAGATGTAGATGCGCAGATGTGAACATAAGCAGAGATTTAGGTGAGAATGTGGATGTGCAGAGGTGAAGATGTGAAGATGTAGATGATACGTAGTTCTGCAGATGTTTTTTTACGAAGAACCCTTCGCAGACGCTCTCGGGAAAAACAAGGATTGACATTGAGTTGGAAGCTTCCTGGATCGAAGTTGAACGGAATGCAATCCCTCGGTTTGCCCCATTCTACTATATACACCGATTGGATGACAGTGCACTGATGCTCGCCATCTTCAAGCGAGCGCATGGGCTGCTGTAGTTCTAGCCACAGCCTCAGTTGACACCTCCCCTGGTCTTTGTTTGTGCGTTTTTTCTTTGACCTTTAGGCCCGTTTAGGCATTTTCTGTTCTCCTGTTCTTTATACCTTTTAGGTTGGAGGCCATTGCTAGCAGGTTGGAGGCCATCTCTATTAGGAAACTTACACCAAGAATGCCTTGCGCTTTCAGACCTTAAAGTCTAGAAGGTTTTAACCTGCAGTGAAGGTTTTTTTGACACCTAGAAGCGATGGCCTCCAACCTACTTGCTAATGGAAGCTAAGAGCGGTAGCCTCCACCCAATAGCGATGGCCTTCACCTAATGGCGATGGCCTCCACAGCTTTTTACTTGTGTCCTTTTTGTAAACAAAAAACAAAGGGTAAGGTGGTAGCAAGGAAGCGCTTGTGGCAAGGACGCAGTAAACGGAGTCAGCAAGGATCAAACTAACCTTGAGACTAGTCAGACTAGTCTTTAGTCTTTTCTTTCCTTCCTCTTTACACTGAACAGGGATGTAAGATGATTAGTGTTGTTTTGGTTCAATAGACCTTTAGACCTTTACGACCTTTCATTTTGAGTCCTGTGATGTCCAGTGTCGAAATGGGCAAATGGAATCCAAGAGCAATGTCTAGGCAAAGTGGTGGCTGCCAATGCCAATGCCTCAAGGGAAGGAGCAGTTGACAGGGTTTTCTAGTAGTAACTTTCTTGTTAGAAGTAAGTAACTTGCTCAGAGATTCAGCGCCTTAGTCCTTGAAAAAATATGTTTGCTCCTCAGAAGGGAAAGGAGAACATTTCGCCCCACTCATCTCCACACCCAAAGCCTTATAGCAAATAGCGATGGCCTCCAACCTAATAGCGTCCTTGCTCCTAGTAGCAATGCCCTTTGTTCCTAGTAGCGAACCTTGCTCCTAGTAGTATGGCCAGGAGCCCCTAGTAGCGTCCTTGCTCCTAATAGGGATGGCCTCATAGCATGTTTGCTCTCAGGGCATGCATGTGACCACTGTGACCATGAGGTTGACGGGGAAAAAGCGGCGCAAAACCGAGAGACCTCCGAGACAGGCTTTGGGGGTGGTGCACCGAGTAAGAATCCCACGGGGGAACATACATACCTACTTGGAGGTTAGTATGTATGTATGTAGAAACAATAAGCTACTAGGAACAAGTGCATCGCTACTAGTAACAAGCGCCTTACTAACAAGAAGCTACTAGTATGTATGTCGTATGTATTGATTTATTGATATGTCGTAGAAAATTATATAGAGGTATGTATGTATGTATGTATGTTTGGGTTCGTAGTGGTTGCACCGCAAAAATAATTCTCGAGCAGAACACTTTGTATTGGGCAGTGGAGTCGTGACTTGACGTTGAACATATTCTGTGCGCCTCGAATGGTTCCTATGAGGAAGCTGAAAAAAATTGAACAAGAAGACACATAGAACAGAAGCTACTAGGAGCAAGGGCATCGCTACTAGTAACATAGGGCATTACTAGTAGGAACATTCTTACTACTAGGAGCAAGGACGCTACTAGTAGCTATACTAGTAGCGTCCTTGCTCCTAGTAGCTTCTTGTTACTACTAGTAAGGCACTTGTTACAAGAAGCGATGCACATGTTACTACTAGCTTCTTGCTCCTAGTAGCGATGCCCTTGTTACTAGGAGCAAGGACAACGCGTGTTCTCCACTTGATCCGGAGGTCGCGGAGGTCGAGACGAGGAGCCGGATTGCTAGCGCCGGGTGTTTCGCAGCAGCGACAAAGGATGCAAAAGGCAGAAGGAGACCTATGCAACTTGCTCCTAGTAGTCCGGCCAGGAGCTACTAGTAGCGTCCTTGCTCCTAGTAGCGATGCCCTTGTTACTAGTAAGGCAGTTTGTGGAAATGTGAGATCTTGAGATCGCTACTGTTGGAAGCCATCGCTTTTGAGTTTGTTTTTCAGGACAAGACGAAGGAACCTGAGACCGAGGTGCAGTTTCACGTGTAGTGTCCCTGTTCCTAGTAGCGATGCCAGGAGCCCCTAGTAGCGTCCTTGCCCGTAGTAGCAACCGTGTTCCTAGTAGCGATGCCAGGAGCCCCTAGTAGCGCCCCTGTTCCTACTAGCAATGCCAGGAGCCCGTAGTAGCGTCCCTGTTCCTAGTAGTGATGCCAGGAGCCCCTAGTAGCGTTTCATTGATTTCTTTTGTTTTGTGGTAGAAGTTTGTCGGCGTCCGTTTTCTCTTTCCCAGACTGTTTCCTGCGCTTCCTTCGCACCTTTAGAGGTCCTTAGGACCTGTCTTTCCTCGTTTTGTTTGCGGTTCCGTTGATTCGTAGCTCGGTTCCAATCATTTCGCAGGTGGCGCCTCCTGGGATGGTGAACATGGAGGAGGAATGAAAGGAATAAAAACGCCAACATCAAAAAAAACTAGCAGCGATGCCCTTGTTACTAGTAGCTTCTAGCTACTAGTAGTAAGGCCCTTGTTACTACTAAATGAAGATTGACGTTCAATTGGTCAATTTGTTCCAAAAACGGTGGCAAGTTTGTCTAAAACCAAAGGGCAAGTCGAATCGGAGCATGCTAGAGGTGTGGGCGCTGACATGAAGTTACTTGAACATTTGGACAGCGTAGCCATGCCCGCCACCTTGCTCAAGCTTTCATGTAGTAGCTGCGCAGCAGTGACGAATGGAGAGCCCAACAAAGGTTCATGACTCGGATGATTTACGAGAAAAGACAACGAAAAAGAAAAACAATGTTCTTTTGGTCTAATATAGTTTGCTACTAGGGTGGAGGCCATCACTACTAGTGTGGAAGCCATTGCTATTAGGAAAGAAAAATAGTGTGTTTATTTTGGTTTACTCGTGACCCAGATGACCCGAGTTCTCCGGCGACTCCGTTTAAAAATCCATCTCATATGACCACTGCGTCAACCATGCCACTAGGTCGAGGGATCAGTCGCAACTTTGTCCTGGTCTCCCTAGGAGCAAGCACGCTACTAGGGGCAAAGGGCATCGCTACTAGTAAAAAAGCACGCTACTAGGGGCTCCTGGCCTTACTACTAGGAACAATAAAACTACTAGGAGCAAAGGGCATCGCTACGATCGGAGCAAGGACGCTACTGGAGACAAGAAGCTACTAGTAACAAGTGCATCGCTTCTAGTAACAAGTGCCTTACTAGTAGTAACAAGGACGCTACTAGAGGCTCCCTAGCAGCATTTGGCGTCAAATGACTCGCTTGGAGAGTCCCATGGGAATCACTCAATGCGTGGTGTCGTCTCATCAGGAGGCGGGATGTTTCTTGTTTTGTAACACCTCGGTGTTTAGCACTTCAACCGCGGTTGCAATGTCCTTTGACAGGACCCTGCAGTGTTGACAGGATTCTGCAAAGTGTTCTTCAAACTATATGTGTGTTCTATCTCAAACGGCCAGGACTTGTAACCTTCAGAGTTCCGCCCAGCACCTCTACCTCAAGACTCTTGGCAAGGTAGCAGTCATGGAGCGTTGCCCCAATAGAGCATATCAATTGCTTCGATCAAGTGCTGTACCCTTCAATTATGAAAGCCAACCGATCGGTGCGGCTAGGCTGGAGTGCTTGAGGGGTGTGTGGGGGGTTCAGAGCCTGATGGGGGAGTGGTGGCCAAAATGCATTCTTATAAAGGCCTTGGTGACGCGAGTGATGCCAAAAAGGTTTAATAGTGGATCATCAGCATCACAAAGTGCCATGTAAGTGGCCCGTCAAATGTGTAAACATGGACGCATGGCTGTTACCGTCTTTTGCATTGCTGCTGCAGTGCCCTCTTTGATTTGTTAAAGTTATGGGGAGGAAAAAAGGGTACCAGCAAAGGAATGCTATCTTCTGGGATCTATCTGGGTCTCCCCGTTGAAAGACTACTCCGTGTCTACAAAGGCTGGCTTTCGTCCCATCCCTTCTCAAATTGTTTCGCCCTGTTCCTTTGTGCATATCGAAAGTAAACAAAGTACCAGGCAAAGCGAATATCTCCAAGACACATCTGGAGAAAGCGATAGGGATGATATCCTTTCACTGTCCAAAACAGTTTGTTTAAGGTGAGGACGGTGAGGATGAGAAGAGCTCCAGTGAGGAGGCCGACGTCAGGGACGGGATGTATCAAAGGCTGTGGCAACTATTAGAACCTAATAACGACGGCCTCCAACCTAAGAACGATGGCCTCCAGTGTCCAGAATTCCACAGTTTCCAAAGAAAAGATCGCTTTTAGATCAGTTCCTTCGAATATACCAGGAGGGCGAATCTTCTGATTCTGCAAAGCGCCAACCAGATCTGTGCCGGAGCAAGAAAGAGATCCTCTATTTGTTTGTTCGGGAAGAAAAGAGATGTTGATTTCTTCAAAGAAGCTACTAGGAACAAGTGCATCGCTTCTAGTAACAAGTGCCTTACTAGTAGTAACAAGAAGCTACTAGTATAAGTGCATTGTTCCTACTAGGATTTCTTCAAAGTGAGATCGAATTGCGACCGGTTTGCCCTGTCCTGCTTAAGGACCTGGCGCTGGGGCATTTGGCAAAGTCGAGATGCCCGTCGAGTCCCTCTACTTGATCTCAACGTATATAATTATTGTATATTAAAAAAAAAACATGGCCTCCACCCTAGTTAGTAGCATCCTTAACCGTGTTTTGTGAAGGTGACCGTTCTTTGTGTAGTTTTGTGCCGCCGGAACGATGAGGCTGCGACAAGTTACACAGATCAGCTCCTCTCACATATGCCAGACAGTTTTCGCTTTCAAAAGGAGGTGGGCGACGCACATTCTCCAACACGAGTGTACTTCAGTGTCCTTAGACTCAGCATGACGTCTGTTTGTGCCGATGCAAGGTGCATCACAAGGAAAAGTCGAAAGGTCTTTAAACACAAAAATAGCATATGAAACGACGAGAAAGAAACCTACTACATACCCAACAAATGTTGCGAGTGTTTGTTTCTGTGTGTGTTCTTTAAGACCTTTCATTCTTGGTATGGTTTAACTGAAAACAAGCAAACAAGTTCACCGTGAGGTCCTTGATGCACGCAACATTGTCCTTGGGGCTCGGCTGCTGCTCGCGCTCAACGCAGTGGCCCGGCACAACTCAAACTAGACGTTTCTACCGGGTGCTGACATAGAATGCTACTAGTAGCTCCTGGCATTACTACTAGGAACAAGGACGCTACTAGTAGCAAAAGGCATCGCTACTAGGAGCAAGAAGCTACTAGTAACAAGGGCATCGCTACTAGTGACAAGGGCATTACTACTAGGAGCAAGGACGCCGAATGATAGACCAATCTACCTATGGCCTTTAGCCGGACGTAGTGACACTATTTTGAAAGATGCCAGACTATGTTTTGTTTGCTTGAGGTTTTCGAGGTTGCTTGAACAGGAAGCAATCAGCTGAGGTTGCGTTCTTCATCTCCTACATTGTGACTGCATGTTTGCTGATTGGCCTGCATTGCGGATTTGCACGTCACGGACATAACAGAAATGTCGGCAATGCAATGTTGGTATTCGTATGCCCGGCACGATGTCCAATGTGTCGAAAGCCACATTTGACTCAAAAGCCACATATAGAATACATGATAGAATAAACCGATCTAATAACGATGGCCTCCAACCTAATAGAAAGAAGGAAAACACCGTACTAGAATTAGGAGAACTAAGGCCCCGCATGAGTAGCTCAAGAGCTGGAAACTAGCAAGGGCAATTGCAGTAGTTCTTTCAGTTGGGTTCAAAATGTTTCGTAACAAAAGCGGACAGTTGAGACTTGTAGGTTGGAGGCCATCGCTACTAGTTAAGTTTCCCTAAAAATCTAGGAACCAAATCCTTAGTGCGAGCGCTTCTTCAAGGAAGCTTCCTTGAAGAAGCGTGAGCTATCCTGCGTCCTAAGTAGTAGCTACCAAGCTACTACTGGCTACCTACCTACCTACCTACCTACCTAGCTACCTACCTACCTACCTACCTCTACTCGCGGCCTACCCGCCCCTTATTTAAAAAAAATACTAGAACTAAAACAAAAATCCCATATGTTGTATATTTATTGTATTCTATTCTGCTTAGAGCCCCGTGAGGCTTGTAATTTTCCACCGAGAAGGACATTGTGATGAGCAGTGCGGCTCAGCACAGCTGTGAGATGCTTCAAAACGAATTGTCTTGTGTTCTCTTCGGAAGAAAGGAAGCAAGGTCTAGAAGTCAGTGTTTAAAAGTCGAGAAAAGGAAGAATGGAATGGAACAAATTGTCGAAAAGTCCAAAGAAAGTAAGAAGCAGAATCAAGAAAGCCTTAAATACATGTTCTCGTTTGCTCTGCTAGAGATGCTCTCCAACACTTTGAGAGATCAGACAAATGGGCCTCTACTTTGGTGATTTCGCCAACACAATTAGTGTTGGAGGCCATCGCTCTTAGGTTGGATGCCATTGCTAGCAACAAGGACGCTACTAGGAGCAAAGGGCATCGCTACTAGGAGCAAGAATGCTACTAGGGGCTCCTGGCCGTACTGCTAGGAGCAAGAATGCTCCTAGTAGTACGGCCAGGAGCCCCTAGTAGCTTCTTGTTACTAGTAGTAAGGCCAGGAGCCCCTAGTAGCTTCTTGTTACTAGTAGTAAGGCCAGGAGCCACGAGTAGCTTCTCTTCTTTGCCCTGAGGTACCAGAAATCATGGTTGTGAGGTGCTCTATCTCCTCATCGAGGTGAATGGAGGTCCTTGGAGAGTAGTCGTATCTGGGCACAGAATTGCGCTTCTGATCTCCATGGAGAGTAGTTGACCTTTCTGTCTCTGCCCTTGTTGCTAGTGACCTTATGTTTAAAATGCCCTTGTTACTTGTAGCGAACATTGCTCCTAGTAGTAAGGTCAGGAGCGCCCCTAGTATAGCGTCCTCTTGCTCCGTTCGTAGCGATGCCCTTTGTTACTCGGAGCTTTCGACCATTTTGGACCGGCCTAGGCGGACTTGTTGTATTTGGTGATCATCGTTCCGGTGCTGATTCATTGCAGTTGTGTGGAGGCAAAGGACCGATGTTGCCCCAGTCGTTCGTAGCGATGCCCTTGTTACTAATAGCTTCTTTCTCCTAGTAGTACGGCCAGGAGCTACTAGTAGCATCCTTGCTCCTAG